TACCGATTTGGTCGAAAACCGAGGCGTTCGAGAACCGAGATATCACTGTACTTTGCTATGTGTACTTATTTAATCTTTAGATTTCTCTTTTGTACCTGGTGGTATAAGACTAAGGTTACGGGGAAATGTTCAGTCAGGGTTATTCCAAGATTCAGCTTCTGCCATTTCAACAACCAGTGAAGGGACTCCATAGCTCATGCTTTCAAAACATAAGACAATTATTTGAGAAAAATTAAAGTAACACTAGTGAATTAGACACATGCAGCTAATTGCACAGATTGTGATGGAGTTGTGGTTTCTTTTTCTGCCATTTGTTCCTGTTTGGGGTGTGATCATGGGACAGCTTTTCTCAAGGTTTTCCAGATTTATAAGCCCATATATAAGAATCTCCTCGGATATTTGTTTACGAGGTATTGTGATGGATTCCCCCACCTAATGATCAGAAACTGGGGGGGCCGGGTGAGATGAGTAGGTCCTAGAAACATTCATTTTTAATCCTCATCCCAGGGAACTCACATGTACATTGAGGCTTGAGAACCACTGGTTATTTTTGTTGTTGTTGTTGTTATTATGATCGTCTTCTGTTAGCCAGTTTCATTGCTGGTGCCTCCAAGCAAGATCTCTGATTCATTTTGCTTCTCCTGAGTGTAGAAAAGCTTGATGCTGGTGCTGTCCTTAGAACCTCTTTTTTCATCTTTTATTTTTTTATAAAAACCCCAAATAATCATTACTTCACACATATAAAATTGCGATAAAGCCCCTCAGGTAACAGCCGCACTGTGGGAAGGGAGTATTTGTGGACCTTGAAGGGAAGTAGGTTACACCCCGTACTGACATGCTGCCTGCCTGAGGCACCATCGAAAGTCGAAAAAAGTGAGTACGCTTCCCACCGTGATTTCTAATGAAGGCGGGGGAATGTTCTGGAGGATGAAGGGAGTAGAAGGGAGTTTGTGTGGCGCGTCACAGCAGGGACGCCCCAGCCCCAGGACAGGAGGCCGGCGCGGGTCTGTGAGCAGGACGAGAGCAGAAGAGGACTCGTCCAGTTTTCAGGCTATTCCAGCACATCCTTCAGATAAGCCTGTGTCTGTACCCTTAGTTCTGATCAGCTTTTGTAAAACTTGAATCTTTAAAAGTGACAACTCAATAATACAGACATTACAAAGATCTTATTGGGCATAGAAAGTGCTCACCGAGTTTAACGAGTGTTTGCTGATCGGGTGGTCATTCTCTGCAAGTGCTACCCAAGCAGATATAGCTCTGACGAGTTAACATTTGAATTTTTGGGGAAAAGTAGAGAAACGGTCATCCATAGGTAAACAAAATTATAATAAATGGGAGATAACAAGAGGACCCGTTTCTTATCTCAACTTCCTTAAATCTTTCCTGCGTTTTCCCGATATGAAGAGTCAGCCCTACTTAAAGGGTAGTAAGTAAGTATTCAGGGACCAGAATACTTGTTGTCACAGTCTTTTATCTCTTTTGGACATTGGTTGTCTTTTACTTCATGATCGGTGCCAGGAAACCTGATTTATAAGGCTTGCGTTTATTTTATCCTTATTAATTTTACCTTCAGAATGCGCAGATTATGGAATAACTGTCAGTGAATATTTGTTATATTCTCTACGTCACAGTTAATTTAGATCTTGGTGGCATTTGTTGTACTTTTTAAATGTGACAGGAAGCTATAGAATAGTCATTACTTGCATTAAATGAGCGTTGTTCACTTGATCCTGACAGCAGCCCTGCTGACTGCCTGAGGCCACGTGGTAAGGGTAATCGACCTCAATTTCCCAGTGTTCCAGATTTCATTCTGTTGCCAAGCTTTGGTGGTAAAGAAACCATTGTAAGAACAGATTAAGATAAGTTTATAAAATAATCCCTTTATTCTTCTTTTTAGTCCAGTGTTTTATTACTTGTTTGAAAAAATTTAAACTGTTCTTGCAATTGGCAAAAAGAAAGTTTTTACTTGACATAAGTCAGAATTAATAATAATACTGTCATCTTATGTTAAGAAAGACATTCTCCCCCTAAACTTGGTAAATTATTGTTGATTACAAAAACTACTGATTGGAAACCGGGGAAAAAGGGTATAAATTATTGTTTAAAGTACTTTGCATTTCCATTTGAGATATTTTACCGCTATGGTTTTATTGGAACTACACTCTATTCGACTATATATATAATGTTTTCTTGAGGCCAAAAGGAGTGAAATTGGGTAAGAATGGACTTGGGAGAAACAGTGATCAACTGCTGACTTGCTTTGGAAGGAAATAGCAAGTGAAAATGAAAATGATTGGGTGATGTTGACTGGTGTGTTAAATGACTTAGTTGTTTAGAATCATAATTAGAATTGAATGTCCTTGAAAAGCTTTTGGAGTCTTTTTACAATGAAAATAAAAACGACTTGGCAGAGACTCCGGAAGACTCCCCGGCAGCACGCCGGGGATCCACGGGCTCTGAGGGAAGTGTGGCACCCAGCTCCCATGCGGTACTCTTACGAGAAGTGGGATGATAATTGGAAAAGAAAAAGAAAGAGAAATCGAGTGTGCTCTGTACTTCCTTTTTGCACTTCCACCTGCTAGAATGTGGACGTGGTGGTGAGATTCGGAGCTGCCCCCTTGGAACTGGAGATGGACGTCCCGGGTTGGGGGTGGCAGAGCCACACAACAGACAGAGCCTGGGTCTCCGTGCCACAGTGCCACCGTGTGCTCCTCGGGCTGGTGCTGCTCAGGCTGTTCCGTGTGAGAAATGAACTTCCTCCTTGGTTGAGCCATTACTATGTGGAGCTTTTCGTTTTGTTTTAATAGTAGCCGAGCCTGTGGATAAACTTGACTAATGAAATAGCTTACATATGGCAAAAGGCACAGTAAACAAAGTCGAAGCATAAGCCCCATAAACTGGGGGAAATGGCACTTATGTTTTCAAAAGGCTTATTTTAAAAAGTACTTCTAACCCGGCTGGTGTGGCTCAGTGGTTGAGCATCGACCCATGCACCAAGAGGTCACAGGTTCGATTCCCGGTCAGGGCACATGCCCAGGTTGTGGGCCTGATCCCCAGTGGGGGGCATGCAGGAGGCGGCCAGTCGATGTTCTCTCTCATTGATGTTTCTATCTCTCCCTTCCCCTTCTTTTCTTTCTAAAATCAATAAAGAGAAAATATTAAAAAAAAATTTTTTTTTTTGAAGAAGTACTTTTAGATAAGGAAAAAATAAATGACACCTTATTAGAAAACCAGATTGAAGTTACTGATTTTACAGGAAAATAAATAGATATGGCTCATGAAAATAAGAAGAAAAGATCTCTAATAACAATAAGAAAAAAATGAAAAATAAAGTTACACGAAGATAATTTTATTGAACAGAAAGAGTTTGTCCACCCAGCGCAAGCAGAGCTAAACACATGCCGAGAATCGCAGTGGGAAAACAACTTTGGCTGTGTTATCGGTGAATGGTGCTCAAGGAAAGCTAGTGCTCTGAAACCCAGACTCCCCGATGGCACGTAGTTTACCGACTAAAGGGCAGAATCCCAAGCCCCCTGGGCCAGGGTTTCAGGGTCGTGCTGCGAGCTGGTTGGTGGGGGGTGAGGTGAGGACACTGAAGCATTTCCTCAGGTACGAGGACGGCCCTGAGGTCTGGTCTGTGTCCCTCTGCCTGGTTCCGTGGAATTGTTCCACCTCCGGGCTCAGGAGCTGCAACGTAACTGAGGTCAAGATGTTATCTTTAGCCTGCCAGAGGTCCAGACCGTGTGACCATTAGTCATGTCCCAGCTACTGTTTTCTGCTGCCCCTGGGCTTGCTGATTTTCAGGAGGAAAGGCTAGGTCTCTGGTGGATATACACAGGGTGAGGCAAGAGTAAGCTTACAGTTGTAAGTGTGCCAAGGTTTATTATTGCATTGTTACTTATTAATTATTGTCTTGTTTTCCACACGAACTGTCAATCTGTTTAGTCACAGTCATAAGGACCCTCGGTTTCAGTATCATTTTCATCAAGCAGATTGGCATAAAACCCAAAAGTCTGATGAAAAACCTCCGTGGTGCCCATTAGCTTGCCTCTCACCCACTCTTTAGCCACACCACACTGGCCTCCTTGCTGGGCAGGGTCAGCCCCTGGCCTTTGCCCTTACGCTGGAGATCCTCCGGCTGTGCCTGGAACGCCGGTTCCTAGGGATCCACGTGGCTAACTCATCTCCTCGGCCTCCAATGCCCTTCTCAGTGAGACTCGTCCTGACCACCCATCTAAACTGCACCCCTCTTCCTTCCCCTATGCTATTTTTTTGCTAGGGCACTGATTTATAACTTTCCAGTTTATTATTTTATTTTATTTTTGTATCTGTATTGTCCATGAAGGCAGGGATTTTTGTTGTTGTTGTTCCCTGAAGTATTCTAAGTACCGAGAACAGCCACCATCATAAAATTTTCAGTTAAAAATTTGTTAAATAAATGTTATAGCATGGGCAATACAGTAAATGTTATGTGATAACTATGTATGGTGCCAGGTGTGTACTGGAATATCGAGGGGATCACTTTGTAAAGTACATGACGGTTGTCTAACCACTGGGCTGTACGCCTGAAACTAATACAAAATAATATTGAATGTAAACTGTAATTGAAAAAGAAATTAATCTGTTATGTCAACTACCCTCCAGAGATAATAAATGTGTATTGTTTTGAACCAGTGGGGAAATGTGAGCACTTGATAGACAAAGGAAGTATTTTAAGTTCAGAAAGTGAGACTGAAAAATAAAACTGGGAGTGTTAAGTGCTAAGAAGGCAAAGAACATATAAATATACTGACAGATATCTTTAGCTTATTTGGAGGGAAAATAATTTAAAAAATGATTCCAGTTGTCGAATAATTGCATTTTTATGGACATGTTTTATACTCTTTCATTGTTCTTTTTGATTTTGAAAGCAGTAAGGTTACGACACTTTGTGCTGTATATGTTTTGATTTTTTTTGTTGTTATAGATAATCATCTGATTCTGTTATCTTTTCTTTTCAGTCCTGATGATATTGGCACCTGCTGGTATATCCTTCTGTCTGGTTCCGTGTTCATTAAGGAATCCATGTTTCTTCCAAGAAGCAGGTATCGTATAGACATTCTCTAATAGATTGTCCATAAAGCTTGAAATCCTTTTGCAGAATTGAGTTCTTTTGCAGAATTCTTTTTTCCTCTTAATTCCTCTTCTGACACAAAGCAATCCAGTGCCTTGGAGTGCTAATACATAAATCTGTAAGAAAGGGCTGTTTTATGTTGTAAACACTGTTCCAATCTCTTTAACATAGGACAGGAACAAAGGACATGCTGGTGGCATGTTCATTTGTCACACGAACGTGTTGAGCTAATTTAGGACATGTGTGTTCGTAGGGAATGAAATCTGCCTCTAGAGCAGGCAATCTCCTAAACATCCAAAGAGAGGACAAGAAAGTTCATTGAGACCACATGGGACTGCAAATGGGAAGCCAGGAACTGTCGTTGACTTTTCTCCCTCTCAGGACCATATGGTCGCTCGTTTCTGCATCTGTCTGTGGACTGGCTTCCCGCTCCCTCAGGCTATTAATGTCTTTCTCCCTGTGACTTTGGCTTGGGTGTGCCAACTGTTGATTTATGACCTCACGTCCCTAATGTTTACACCGTTCGACTGTACTGCCTGTGTCTTTTCTTTGGATTCTTCAGGCTGCAATCTGATTGGCTTGGCTTGGGGCCCGTGTGTTTTAGTTCCAATCAGCTACGGTCCAAGAGGGTTAGGACTGATCTGTCATAAACGGGGCCGTGTATTTCTAGGTTCCCTGACTGAGGGCGTCAGCTCCTGAGTTTCAGCAGCTGTTTTGTCCAATTGTGTATTTTTCACAATTATTTTTGACTCAAGATTTAAAAAAAAAAACTTAACTAATTAAATATCTTTATTTAAAATTACTAATTAAATATTTTATATCAGTTGACTAAATCTATTAAAGACTAGTGCTCTCCCTCTCCTGCCCTCCTGAGCTTCGATAACCTAACCTACTATTAAAATATATTCTTGATAAATAATTGAGTGGGTCAAAGACATGTTCAGTCTATTTTAAAGATGTGAACAGATTTTTATAAAAAGTCAGAGTCGGTGAGATACGGAGAGGTTTTTTCATGGTTCCGGATGTGGTGATAGAAGGTACGGGCGTGGGCAGTTGGCGGCCAGAATGGCAGCGGGAAGGTGCCAGGGACGCGCTGCGTCTGATGAAGGCAGCCTCGGGGCGGCTCCCATGCCTGGTCGCCTTTCCACTTCTCCCAGACCAGACTGGCAGACACTGTTCTCTTCGGAGCATGGCCCCTTGAGAGAGAGAGGCTCAATCGCCTGTTTGTTTGTTGTTCTTCTAGTAGCAATAGTGATAGCAATAGTAGTTCTGTCGGTGGTGGCAAGAGCAGTAATAGAAGTAGGGATAGTTGTAACGAAACGAGGAAGGAAAAATAGCTCAGTAGTACTAGTAGTAGTTCTCTTTGCCAGGCACCGTTTTAAATGCGTTCTATGCATCGAATCACTTCATTTCTCAACCATCCTCTGAGGTAGATACAATTACCTCCCACGTTTAATGACGGAGGGAAGTCTGGCTGCACAGAATTCCGCCTAGGCAGCTTGCGTGGCCCTGTGGGAGACTTCCCGTGATTCCAGAATTCTGCCTCCCAGAGGAATGGAGAGCTGAAGAGCAGCACTCTCCGACTCCTCATACGCAGGACCTGCTTTTTGGTTCCTTGGCGGAGACCATGTCCAACTTGATTTCTGAACTTGGAAGAAGGTGTAGGCAAAGAATATTTAACAATGGGCATATTTTAAAAATTACATATTGTTTCAATGTAAAGTGTAATAATAACTATATAACTATAAATGATCACAGATAAAGAGGAAAAACATCACTTAAAAATCTCTCATCCAAGATAATCAGTCTTTATTATTTCATTGTTTTTTCATCTCGACTTACATGTACATGTTCCATATGCTAAAGAACATAACGTAAATAATTTAGTATCTTGCTTATTTCAGTTAATATGTATGTGCATTACCTCATAATATTAAAAACTTTGCAAAGACTTACTCTTTATACATCTTATTATCTATTTAATGTTCAGTTATTTGAACTTCACACAACTTAGTTAAATCATTGTAAAGGGTGAATTATGCTGTAAAGAGTGTGATTTGAAACTGATGCATCTTACCCGGCTGGTGTGGCTCAGTGGTTGAGTGTCGACCCACATACCAAGAGGTCGCCAGTTCGATTCCCGGTCAGGGCACATGCCCAGGTTGTGGGCTCAATCCCCAGTGGGGGCAAGCAGGAGGTGGCCAGTCAGTGTTCTCTCTCTTCAATGTTTCTATCTCCCTCTCCCTCTCCCTTCTTCTCTTTCTAGAATCAATAATGGGGAAAAAATAAAAAATAAACTGATGCGTCTTAAAGAGAACAGCAGTTAGGGGACTGTCATCATCTTGTTGCAAGGCCTGTTGTACAAACTCAGTCTGTAGCTTTAGGCGCTAGCACACTGAAGGAGCCTGTGATGGTCTTTCTGGATTTCCAGCCATCCTCAGCCAGTCAAATAACAGCTTGTCCTCACTTGTGGAATGGGGACCTAATGTTCAGAAAACTGTTGTTCTAGGAGAAAGAGGACTTGCAGTCCAGACCTGTTTCATGAACACATGGTTTGGACTCTATGTCTAATTATTTTAAAAGATGACATAAGTTACTCTTTCCCTGGCTGCATGTCAAATGCTTGCAAGTCAGTAATTTAAGGGAAGGAATGGTGTTTCAGACTGAATGACAAGCTGGGACTATATATAGGTTCTTCCTTCATGTTGCACCTGGTGACATTTGCTCTTTCCAAGTTGTTTGTTTCCTTTGGAGATGTTGCCTTAGGAATAGTGCTGAGATTGTTTTAATATGAAAGAGAGAGATTCTACTGGTGCTATGCTAACGGTTGGTGTCAGTGAGTCATTGATGTTTCTCTTTCCAGAAAATATTGAGGTTTGATAAAAAGAATAATATGGCTTAGGTGTTGGTAGTAGTCTGCTGGTTTTATAAAATAATTCACAGATGATTCTCCACATTTACCATGTACTTATAATGTTAGCCTAGAAATTGGTTATCAGTATATGTGGTAAGTAATTTGATCATTTTCTTGAAAATTTCAACTCATTTTGACAGATAATTTACCCATAATAGTTTGTTATAAATTGAAGTACTTTGAACAATAGTTTCATGTTTTTAACTGGTTCTCAGCAAATTGCCTTGACACCTGCGATAATTGCATTATCACATGAGAAGGGTGTTACACATGCATAAAAGCTGTCATTTGGTTTCCATATTTCATTAGTTTTATTGAATTTCTCAATCGACATATAAGTTAGCATTTTATGTTTTACTATTTAAAAAAAATTTTGTTTCTTTATTGATTTTTAGAGAGAGGGGAAGGGAAAGAGAGAGAGATAGAAGCGTCGATGAGAGAACATTAATTGGCCGCCTCCTGCATGCCCCCCACCGGGGATCTGGCCCACAACCTGGGCAGGTGCCTGACTGGGAATCAAACTGGTGACCTCTTGGTGCCTGGGTTGATGCTCAACCACTGAGCCACACCGGCCGGGCTATTTTCTTTTCAAACCTATAAAGGTTGTTTGGTTGCATATTTTTACTTTGGTTGTCCAAACATGAGTATTATTTCTTGATGAGATTTATAACATTTATGGAGCCTGTGACTTCCTTTGTGACTTTCAGTGACAGCTTCCACACTCTTCTTCACTCTAAGCAATTCCAGTGAAATAAAATGTTGTTTTCATGTAAATCTATTAGATTTATCAAGTTTGGAAACACTGGTATTTGGTACAAGTGTCTGTAATTTCCTTTACAATGTCGTTATATATAATGTTGCCCTAAGATAGAGCTAACCTTTTTATTTGGAATGTAATTTTTATTCTTGAAGCAATGTACTATTTATAGTTATATTTTTCTTAAAGTCTTATTTAAAAATAAATTCAGCTTCTATGTTTGATCAGAAAGATAATGAACAAAGGTAATTTAGGAGTGCAGCAAAGGTTATTCTGACTCTCATTTAGGAAAATACCAGAGGGACACTTGCCAGAGATGAATATCCAAATGGTGCGAGCTTTTTCAAGCCTACAGGCAAAGCAGTGTGATCACTAAGTTGTGCAAGAGGTGTGCCCCATGGTTCTGCGACATGCTGTTTACATCCGTAGTCACGGCAGGTTGGTGTATGAGGACAGTGACAGGCAGAAGGTAGTGAAGTATCTTGAAAAGGCATTCCCCACACATACCTTATTTTTTCAAAGACATCATTTACAACAGCAGTGGGACTGGAAAGCAGTAGATGAAAATAATCTTATATAAAGGTGCAGGTTTAGAAATGGTTCTTAATGTATTTTTGGTTTGTTCTACATAGCGCAGGAAAATATTAATAATGTTTATTGCCCTACTGCTCTCTAAATCAGTATATTTTAAGGAGCTGTAGTAAGAATTGTTATATACTTTAAATTTTCTCACTTCTAACACTGCCTGACTCTATAAATGCTGAAGCCTAATTTATAGTAAAGTCACAGTATAATAACTTGGGTTAATGTTATTTTTTGCCTGCTGGCTTCCTTGAAAGCTGGAGAATTCTATTTGAGATATTAAAGATAGGCTTAGACTGTTTCTAAACTTTCAACTTGCTGTTTGGATTATTTGTGAGAGAAGGAAATAGTTTACCTAGGTTGTATATTAACTCATAGAGTTAGAATTTTTCTACTAATACATAAATCATTTTTACATCTACCTGCAAAAAACCCACACAGTATACTAGGTATTTAAAACATGAAGCATTATTGTTACAGATGCTTCTTTGAATTTATCCTGGAAAATAATCACTCCTATTACCGCATTGAAACTGGTTTTCTCAACTGAATCAATTTTATCATAGAGGCCTCCAAGAAAGGGCCTTTTAATAGAAATGATCGCACACACCATATTTAATCATAAATAACATCTTTATTGCGCCTAAGGTGAAAAAAGTGAAAAACATTCTATGTTCTTCACAAACACAGCAGTTGGCAAACAAGCTCTTCACTTCAC